GTAGGACAATGCCCTTCTTAGGGACACCACACCAATCACAGGGCCTGTGAAATTCTCATTACACAGCTCCCCGAGCAGGGGAAAAGGGAGTAATCTCTGCTAACTTTCAAGTTCAGGGCTCAGCCCTGGCAGTCGTGTTTCCAACAAGAGGGTGTGTGCCTCCACATGAAAATTTCAGTCATGTGAATAAAGTTTTGAAGAATTGTTGTCACTGTATTTTGCATTTAGTGCGTAGCTAACGCTTGTTGCATCTGTATTAAATAAAACAGTCCTGGAACTTTTAATTAACGTGTCTGGTCAACAAGCTGAATCCTGGCTCTTCCCTTTTAATCCCAGCTGGCAAACCTTTTGCTGAAAAGGAACCAGCTGAAAACAGGCTTAAGGAGAAAAGCTGCTGTCTTTCCTTCCCCACGTGATTTTAGTGCTGATTTGGACTATCAGCATTTCCACATTTGAAATGCCACTTTCCTTCCCAGCATCACCCTCAACCTAATCCTTTCCCTTCACCTGCTGCACTGACCCTGCTTGACCCTCCTCTTCCTCTCCCATCTGCTGCCCACCGCCCTGCTGGCTTTGCCCTGTCCTGCCCCAGGGTCCTGCTCTCACCCCTGCACCCCCGTGGGTGTTTCCCAGCCCTTATTCACCCTGCCCCAGCCATGCCAAGCACCCAGGGCTCTGCTGCCACTGCTGCCTTGTTTCCTCCACCATTCCTTGCCCCAGCTGCCCCTGCCTTGGTTCAGTCTCCCCCAGCTCACCCTCTCCCTCTGCTCTCTGCCCACCAATGTCTCATTGCCATCACTCTGCCAGCCAGGCTGAGCTCTCCCTCAGCCTGTGCCTCCTGCCTTACTTGTGGTATTTCTCCACTTTAATTGAGTCCCTTGATTCCAGCTTTTCTCTCTTTTTTTTTTTTTTTTTTTTTTTTTTTTTTTTTTTTTTTTTCCCCTTCTGCTTTTGATTTTCTCCAGCCTGACTGCGAGACACCTCCTGCATTGCATTTATTTTTCTCGTTTCTTTTCAACAGTCCTTTGTATTTTCTCGTGCTGTCCTTGACCACAGGCAAGAACTCACCAACGACCTCTGCAGACACACCAAACTGCTTCTTTCAAAAGTCGCTCTATAACCTTATTTAGCTATTCTTCTCCCAAAATACCAGCGGCAAATATTGCCAGCTGTGTCCTGGGGATGCTGCCTGTCACAAAGGGCAGCACGTAGTCCCTGCTCTCCTTTCTTGCCTCCAGGGATCTGATCTTGTGCTTAGACTAAGTGGCTCCTGGCTGGGATGGTTCTCCTGCGGTTCTGCACTAAGAGGTTAAGGCATGAGCATAAAAAATGATGATGGTGATGGTGATGGTGATGATGGTGATATCCTCACCTCCGTAACAGGTGATTTGCAGGTGTCTGCCTTCTGCTGGAGCTCCCACTGGGAACTGGGCTGGGATTCCTGAAGCAGGGAATCTCATGGACACACCAGTGTCAGCGCCTCTCTCACACCCCTGAGCAGCCGCAAGCCAATCCATCAGGAATTAATTACCACCGTGGTATACACAGTGACTTAAAATTGATTTAACAAGAAAACTCCTCCCCAAAATGTCTCCACAAAACAGGAATAGTAACTCTCAAAGGACGCCATCAGCTGTGTTAAACCCCAAGTAGTTTGCAAGATATTCAGGCCTTAGAATGGCAGCGATGTGAAGTGTGCATTTCAAAATTTTCCTGCTTTATCAGATAACTGAATCTCAGCTGAATATTACAAATACCTCTCAAGCAGCCAAGTTATGCTCTGTGCCTCGAAGAGCAAACAGTCAGATAGCAAAAGTGAGTAAAATCACAGAGAAGAGACTGGTTCAGCTCTGCTTCTCAAACAATCTGCAAGAGGAGACAGAGGTGCATTCTTAGTGAAACTGGGCTTTTCCCCCAGTTTTTGCAGCACTTCTTCAACAGCTTTACTAAATAATTTTTTATTTGACACACTACCTTGATATGAAAATGCAAATAGTGATTTAGTGACAAACAAACATACAACAAATAGAGCATGTATATACAAAACCAGATATAAAAGCAGTGGTATAACAACTTCTCCTCCATTGCTTTAGTCAGTTTTTATTAACTGTACATTAACAGTACTTTTTCTGAAGTGTTTTTTAGGATGGAGACCTAAATTTTCCATGATTTCAAAAATAGATTTTCTAGATTTTTTTTTTGGGTTTTTTTTTGTTTTTTTTTTTTTTTTTTGGTTTTTTTTTTTTGTTTTTTTTTGGTTTTTTTTTTTTTTTTTTTTTTTGTTTTTTGGTTTTTTGGGTTTTTTTGTCACCCAGAGGATTGATGACTCGCTGCCCTGCCCTCCCAAATTCCCAGGGTCACTTCTGGGTATGGGACTCAGCAATTTCACTGCTGTGGAACACAACTCTATGTCTTTCCCTGCTTATGAAATCTTTGAACACCTTGCACTGGGCTAGTTCCCAAAGGAAATTTCAGGTTAAATGTAGCCTAATTGGGTCAAATTATCTCTGCTGATACAGGACCACAACTTTCCCCTGCAGTTCTACAGCAAGGTCCCTTGGAGCCCATCCTGGCAACACTTGGGAAAGTGTTTTTATAAATGAATCCTCTGGAATTACAATACAACAAAATGAAGATTAGGATATAAAATGAAGTAAAACAGTGTGCTTATCTGCATGTTCTCTTCCTCAGAGCCCTATGGAATAAATTACATCCACGGATTCCTTTACATCTGTTTGCACATATAACTCAGTCGTGTTCATACATATGAATTTGGCCTAGAATTCCTTTTTTTTAAAAGCACAAACAAGCCCTTCTTTAATGTTGATAATGAAGAATTTTAAAAAATAATCCCATATACATACATAGATGCATTTGGATGTATTAGGTAATATATACTAGTATATAGTATATATATTCATATATATGTTGTAGACATTTAAAGCAATAAAAAGGTTGTCCTTGTATGAGAATGATCAGTGATAAGTAATAAAGATAATATCATGGAGAGAACTAAATTGTACTGGAACAATAAAGGACAAGCTGGTGGTTACACAAACAGCATTCACTGTGTGACCAGCATTATTGGACTCCATTTGGTTCCTACAGATTGCTGTGCAATGACATATTCAACATTTTCAGCTGAGGAAAAGTGCCTGCATGCCTAGGAGAAAATGATGTAGTCAAAGAAAGCCCTTTCTTTCTTTATAAATAAAATTTAACTCCTGCAATTTATTTTTCTTCTGTGTGTCTCAGGTGACCTGGTGGAACAGATGACGTGTGATCATTCGCGATTTGTGAAAAAAAAAAAAAAAAAAAGCTTTATTAAAGCAGAAATTACGTTGTGTGATCATTCGTGATTTGTGCAAAAAAAAAAAAAAAAAGCTTTATTAAAGCAGAAATTACGTCAGCTGGGACAGAAGCCTGCAACTTTATCTTGGCAAAGATGTGCTCTTGCTGTAGATTTCACCGTGATGTACGACGTGCCTGTTCTGGAAAGCTCCAGCTCCTCACGGAGCATCAGATGTCTGCACGCTGCCCTGAGTGGCAGCTTGCTGCTCTCCCTGCTCTGGCTGCCTTGCTGGAATTCCAAGGAGTTTTACCTGGAGCCGAGGCACTGATGGTGAGGAGGCATCCGTTGGGCAGGTGAGTGCCCAGGTTGGGTGGGCACCAGCCCTGCCACACCTTCCAGGTGCTGCCCAAGCCCTGCCCAAAGCCTGGACTTCTCCAGCCTCGCTGGGCTGGGCTCACAGCTCACCCTGTGAAGGCACAAGGCAGTCGAAGCCAGCTCCAGCAGGGTTTGTGTGTCTGTTTGTTGTGTGTCTATTTTTCTAATACCACAGTGTCTGCTGGCAAGACGGGAGCCTTGCAACCCTGCATGGGCCCGCAGTTCCTGCAAGTAATACACAGAACCACAGGTGCTGGCACAGATCACACAGGAAATGTTTTCTAACTCGTCCTGTGCATTATACAGCAGTACTGAGCACTGCAACTTCCATATTTTTAATCCTTTATTACTCATGAGACGCAGCAAAGCGCGAGAGAGCGAAAGCTACATATGCAAAATACGTTTTCAAACGGAACAGTTCCAAGGCTCTTCCTGAAAGAACCCCAAGAGGAAGCTTGAGTGGCTAAACTGAAGGTGCAGCGTGCAGGTAGAAATTTCCATACTGGGATGTTTTATGTAAAACAGCCCGGTTTGGTGGCTGTGAAGGTGTGCAGGTGATGCTGTGCAGGAGCCAGCCCCTGCTGCCATCCCCGCACCCCGGGGTGGGAGCACACCCGGAGATTTTCCCTTCGGCTCCATCCCTCGAGGGTTGGGATCTGTAAATGGTCCCGTTTGCTCGGCAGAGCCCCCGCAGCCCGTGCCGGGGCTCCCTCTGCGCCCCGGGGCTGGGGTCCCCAAGGTGGCACCTGGGGGGCTCCCCCGCGCCTTTACCGGCGTGAGTTTCGGGGTAAAAGTGACAGGTTTGTGGTATCTCTCTTGGGTTTCTCTGCTGCCTTTTGCTTTAATTCTTTCGCCACAGCTCGAGAGCGAAGTTAAGCGGCTCCGGCGGCCGCGCTCGCCCGGCCCTGCCGCTTTCCAAGATTTTCGCTCCAAGAATGGAAAAGGCGGAAACTATCGAGAAAACACGGGGCAGCCCCAAATCACCCCGCGGCTGCCGGCCCGGCCCGGCCAGCGGGGACCCCTGCCCGACCCCCGCTCCGCATCCCGGAGGGATGGAGGGACACGGGGATGGAAGGATGGGGGAATGCAGGGATGGGGGTATGGAAGGATGGGGGGGATAGCGGGATGGAAAGATGTAGGAATAGGGGGATGGAAAGATGGGGGGGGGGGAGGGGGCAGGGACCCGGGCGCTGCGGCGGCGGCGACTTTGCTCTTTAAATCGCTCTCCAAAGCGGATTTACGGCTGATCCCCCCACGTCAGCGCCCGGGGGGCCGCTCGCCGGCGGCGGTGCCGGTGCCCGGGGCGGTGGGAG